TTCCCCCCCCCCATTTCTTTTTCTATATATATTTATATATATATGTTTATATATATATATATATATATATATATATGACAATGACAATGACAATGACAATCTTTATTCATCTCGCAGGGAGAAATTTGTCTTGGTCGTTAACAATGGCAGTAGACGTTACAAAGGTTAGACTTAAAGGTGCACTCACGCAAACGCACAACAAGACAGGACATTATGCCAAGTAAATACATGTCTCACGTGCTGGGACAACCCGCTCCGTAACACATTCATTCTCTCTCTCTCTCTCTCTCTCTCTCTCTCTCTCTCTCTCTCTCTCTCTCTCTCTCTCTCTCTCTCTCTCTCTCTCTCTCTCTCTCTCTCTCTCTCTGTTTCATTTGTAGCACTGTGTGTTCAGTAACCTCACTGCAGTTGGTACGAATGAATTTCTATATCTGTCTGTTCTTGCTTTTTTGGAAATGTATCGTTTACTGCGGGTCGATAGTTGAAATTCCGATGTCAGTGGGTGGCTATGGTCACTAAGCTTTATTTCCGCCTTTTTTAGAACGTTTGTCTTGTGCAGATATTCAAAGTTACTTAGGTCTCTATCAATTGTTCTTGATGCCTTTTTTATCAACTTATTTAGTTTTATAATGTGCTGCCTTCCCAGATAATATATACACATGTATGACATTGTACACATGTGCACGCAGACACCTTCGGATTATAAATATATTCACTCTGCCATGCACTGACACACACATACACCAGTCGGCACCCTTAGATAATAAATATATTCACATACTCGGCCATACACTGACACACATACACAAGCAGGAACATACTTAAGTACACAGTATCCACGTATGATGTACACACATCCATCAGAAGAAATAAAAACTATACTTTGGGATTGCTGGATACAATATGGCTATTGTTCCTCTGCCTCTGTCTCTGTCTTGCTTTTCCCATGCACTAAATAATAAATAATAATAATAATAATAGATAGCATTTGTATAGCGCATATCCCCGCTCAACAGCAGGCTCTATGCGCTTTACACTATATTATTACCCCAGCAGACCATAGAACACTCCGAAACATTCTCAGCTTCCCGGGAAGCATACAGTGCAAGCAGCTGATTAAGCGCTCAAACACTAACAAACTGACAAGATCTTTCGCTGTCTATAGCTGGGTACCCATTCCCACCTGGGTGAAGTGAGGAAAATTCGTGTAAAATGCCTTTCCCAAGGACACAACGTCGGGCCCTTGACGGGATTCGAACCCACGACCTTACGGTTGCGAGTCCGAGAGCCTAACCACTAGGCCACCGACGCCACCCTAACAATATATATCAATCTGACAATTTTTTTAGGCTACCTAAATTTTTTTTTAAACTTTTTTTTGTTTGTTTGTGCTTAAGGCTACATTGATTCCTTGAGGATTTGTTAATGAAAAATTCAATGCACGTTTCAATTTTTTTTTTTTTTTTTGCTGGCCATTTTCATCAATTCTATATTTCTTAAGAGCAACTTTGTCTCTACATTTTCCAATTTGGATACTTTTCCTACTTTCCTACCTCTAGGGCTGACTTACATTTGATCATATTGTCTTGCTCCAACAAGTTCTATTCATAATATCACTTACTCACTAGTTGCGTCTGTTTGTTTGCTGGGGTTTTTGTTTTCTTCAATTTCGCGGACCATTTCCACCTACGTTCAGTGCGTATATTCAAATGCTTTGTATACTGTTTACATAGTTAGTAATAAATGGCCTAATTTGTCAAATACACTAGATATGTTATTCAATATGAAGTTTTGCATTAGCACTGAAGTGTTTTATCATATTAGCAGAAAGTACTCAAAATGTGCTCATAAGTACTTTTTTAAAAAGTACTTGTACTCAAGTACATTATACAGGAAAGTACTTTTACTGTACTTAAGTACATCTTTTAGATTGTACTTAAATTTGTACTTAAGTACTGTTTTAAAAGTACTTTAACAGCTCTGGCTGTTTCTGAGTATTCTCTGGGCAGGGGCTTCTGGGATAAAAGTAAAAATGATAGTCCTAATACTAATAGTTCCACAGTGACCAGATCGTGCTGCTGAACGGAACGGGATAGAGCGTTTAATCTATCTACTCATATTATTTATTAAATCTTGATCTATATATAAATACAAGCTTATCAATCTAGAATTGGAAGACGACTGAATCAACTGAATGATTTTTTAAAATTCTTTTTTAAAAAAATCACTTTATGGCTTTTTTTCAATTTTTTTTTCCATGTGGTGGGGGGGGGGAAGCAGGGCAGACCGACCTTGACCTTCGGACTGGTCGCTTCCTTAATGACATCCGTGTCCTTGACCCTTTCCTCCTGAGGGCAGACTTGGAGCGACCTCTGGCCACAGATCTCTGCGTCTTCCTCCCGCGCTTCGTCCGCGAGCAGGGGCGGTGCTGGATGGGGGAGGAGTGGCGGGAACGTGGACCGCACGGCTGTACCGCTCCTATGTCCTTGTGCTTTATGTAGGTGAGGAAAGTGTTCCACAAAAGTGTGGCGAAGTTGACGTAAAACACCCGGAATCTGTGTGGGATCAGGTAGAAGTTGACAAACTGAGCAGCCGGCCAGAACATCCAGTCAACCTTATAGATATGTAAGAACTTATTCCTCCACTCAGCATAGACTTCTCCCGCCGACTTTCCCTCTAGAAGACACATGCCAATAAGAAAAGCGGAACTAAAGAACGGTCCGGCTATGGCCTGGTCGCAGACGATCTTCTTCAGCACAGTGGTCAGGGAACGTCCGGTCAGCGCGTAGTCTAGTAGGGCGTACCAGTAGTGGTTGAACACTCCCAGGACGAAACCCACCGTCATTGCTCGCCAGGTGCGTGTAAAGTCGAATCTCCAGGCCGCCCACTTTCTCCACAGAATGTCCCGGAGTTGTACCAGCGAGTCTCCTAGCCCGAGCAACAGACTGGCACTTACGATGTTGCTGATCAGCAAATACTCTGTGAAGGCCCAGTCAATTGCTTTGGCAACTGCCAAGAGGACTGGGACTACCACGGTTGCCATCTAAACTGTCTGATCTGTCTACTTCTGGGCACAACAGTCACCTGAGAGTTGGATTTATCAGGACCGATGATGTAGCATGTTATTCTTTTGGGGGTTCACGCTCGGTCTTTAACTTTATGGCCATTTCTTTTCTTTCACTTTTCTTTCAGCAACCCTGAACTGTATGTGTAAAGACCGGATGTCACTAAGTGACCGTTAGTCTGTTGGTGCGCTAGTCTTGACATTAATACCGTTGTCCCCGAATTCCAGAATGTGGCCGTGGCCGATGGGGAAAAGACTGCTCTCAATTCTGCAGCATCAATTGCATCAGTGGAACGTGCGACCGAGTGACAGGAGAGTGTGATGGCGGATGTACTCGGGGCTTCCTGCCTCCTAACTGTGAAGACGGTAAGTCTTTGGAACAACAGTCAATGCACTGAAAAAAGCACACAATTATTGCTCTCAAAGACCAGCCATGTCAAGAGCTGACTTGTGATATGCCTGGCACCTTATTCCTGTGATTTCTCTATTGTAGGATATAACGGAACTAATTATTTTGACTGTTTTGTTCTCTATAAAACTATTTGCACTCGGCACTTACTGTAAATGTAACCCAGAAGAACTCTATTGATGGCTGTGGGCTCAGTCTCTGGATCACTTGTCGAAAGTGTTTTCTGTTAGACTTTTTTTTCCCTCTGTACATTGGGCGTGTGAGGGCTCAAAACTGATTCTTCTTCTTCTTCTTCTTCTTCTTCTTCTTCTTCGTCTTCGTCTTCGTCTTCGTCTTCTTCTTCTTCTTCTTCTTCTTCTTCTTCTTCTTCTTCTTCTTCTTCTTCTTCTTCTTCTTCTTCTTCTTCTTCTTCTTCTTCTTCTTCTTCTTCTTCTTCTTCTTCTTCTTCTTCTTCTTCTTCTGTTTCTTCTTCTGTTTCTTCTTCTGCTTCTTCTTCTGCTTCTGTTTCTGCTTCTGCTTCTGCTTCTATCCCGTGGTTGGGGCAGCCGTGGTGCACCCCTGCATCTAACAACCGGCTCTCTCTCGCCATTTCTCTCTGTCCTCTGCTTTCCTCAGGTTGTCACCCATCGTCTTCCCTGTCCACTCTTTGATGTTGTCCTCCCATCTCCTTCTCTGCCTTCCTCTCTTTCTCTGTCCTTGAACGGTTCCTTGTAAGATTTGTTTTAGCAAGTCCTGTGGATCTTGTGACATGCCCATACCATTATAATTTTCGTCTCTTCACTGTGGTCAGTAGATCTTCATACTGCCCCACTGCGTTTGTGATTCTATTCCGTACCTCAGCATTTGAAATGCGGTCTTTGTATGAGCTGATGTCAAGGAGTCTGCCGTAATATCTCATCTCTGTTGTCTGAATCCTTTTCTCCAATTCTTCTGTCTGTGTCCACGACTAACAGGCGTATAAAAGTATTGAGATGAACAGTGAGCGCATTAATCTCATCTTCGAGTTGAGTGTGATGTTTCTGTCCCTCCAAAGAGGAATAGTAATTTACCCCACGGTAACTCTATTGTGCAAAAGTCCCCTACCAGCAGTTTTAACTAGCCGGTCAAATATTTTGGGACCTCAAAGTTTCTACCAACTGCTTACCGGGGTCTTTGCCCTGTAGACAGGCAGGAGTGACATTATGTCTTTTAATACCGTTTGTTTTTTTCTATGAAAGAAGTAAAAACATGCCCCAGGTATTCAAGGATACTCATTGATGACATCTTGGAAAAAGTGTTGGCCTTCAACATCACGTTACTGAACTAGATGGGATGAATCAAGGGTGTGTGTGTGTGGGGGGGGGGGTGGATGGACTCGTACATTTCATACAGGAGACTGACAACTGTGTCGGGCAAACCGTTACTGGCCAGCATGTTTTGTTGACCACTCCCTCGGCGGATGTCGAACCGTGATGGCTGGAAAGGCTGTTTTCTTTAACTCTCAATAAAACGTTCACCCTTTTCTGATGCATTGTGCATCTGAATATTCACGTTTTTTCTTTCTATTCCACACATAACTGAGCGGAACCTCAGAGACCGTCACATCTGCACTGCTCCCTTTAACGACTGTTGGCTGATGTGGCTTGATCTAAACATTCACAAACACAGTAACGTAATTGTGGCCTAGAGGTTAAGGTGTTCGCCTCTCATTCAATAGGTCCCGGGTTCGAATCCGGATAGCAACGGAAATTTTTCTTCTCTAAATTGCCTCCTTTCACCTCCTTTCCTGCTCTTGATCAATACTCTGTCGTCTGCTTTTGTCTCCACTCCCTCACCTCCTTTGCCCCCTCCTTTTGGGTTCATGACTGCCGTAAAACACTTACCCGAAAAAAAAAGTAACGTAATTGCATTTCATGTGTTTTATGATGTCAACCCACCTTTTGTGACTTGAACTAGCGTGGTTCACGTCACAGTACAGTTTTACCGTCTTGTGTCCCCTCGCGTGTACGGGTGTGATAGAATAATGACATTCTGGTCTGAACGTTTCCAGGTTGTGGGCCGGGGTATCACAGCTACAACTGTACAGAGCGTTGTTCAACAAGCTGCTACAACAGATTGTGCAATGCTCTTACTGGAGTCTGTGACTCGTGTATAGCTGGGTACCAGACAGACTATTGTGATCAAGGTAAGCAGTCTGTACGGTACGTGAGCACACACTCAATGGCTGTACTCACACACAACTCCTATTTTTTGCTTAATAAAACACTCTAATAACGTAACTTGTGTGTTTATTGATTGTAGTTTGATCGTGTGTTTCGCTGTATTACATTGTTATAATCTTTACTGTCCTTGGCTTCTAGTGGCGGAATGGTACTTTAATTCAGCAAGAAAGGACATGAGCACGAGTCTCGTTGCGGGTCGAGTGGGGGGGGGG